CCTCCCCCCGAATTTCCTTTTTGCCTCTGTCCTTTCGGAGATAAGCGTTAATAAACTCGGAAGTCCCGACTGTTAAATAACCTAATAGTGTTGATGGGGGCGTTCAACCTATACCATTTCACCATTTTCTGCCTTCCCAATCACAGTGGGTGGTTGGCGGGTGCTCTGGTGTGGTTTGCTCCTTCTTTCCTGTAAAAAAATATGTCTTCTCTATCTCCCCTTCTTCTTTTTTGTGTTTGTTACTCTCTTGTAACACTTCTAATCTTCCGCACTTATATGACCTTATTGTGTTGCAGGTGCCGTAAAACTCTTACTAAAACTAAAGTGCTCTAATAAGACGATAGTTATAACCGTTATTGTGTTGCAAGTGCCGTAAAACTCTTACTAAAACTAAAGTGCTCTAATAAGATGATAGTTATGACCATTATTGTGTTGGTGCGCTTCTGTTTACTCAAACGGCGGGTGGTTGGAGGGCGCCCCTGATATGCCCAACTTCTTTTCTTTCCCTCTGTGTGAGTGGTTGGCGGGTGCTCTGGTGTGGTTTGCGCCTTCTTTCTATCAAACATCTATCGTCCTTTTCTCCCCTTCTTCATTTTTGTGTTTGTTACTCTCTTGTAACACCTCTAATCTTCTGGCGCTCGTATGACCTTATGCCGTTGCGAGCGCCGTAAAACCTCTACTAAATCAAAAACTTTCTCTTTGTTGTTTCTGTCTGTCAACGGGTGGTTGGCGGGTGCTCTGGTGTGGCTTGCGCCTTCTTTCCTATTTAACATCTGTCGTCCTTTTCTCCCTTCCTTTTTTTTTGTGTTTGTTACTCTCTTGTAACTCCTCTAATCTTCAGCACGCATATGACCTTATTGTGTTCAAGTGCCGTAAAACTCTTACCAAAACTAAAACTACAACTCTGTCTGTTATTCTTGCTTCTTCCCTGCCCCACAATACAAATATGACCGTCATTGTGCCGATGTGCTTCTCTTTACTCAAATGACGGGTGGTTGGAGGCCGCCACTGGTAGATTCTATTTCTAACTTCTAACGCTCTGATGTTTCTTCTTGTCTTGCTTCTTCCCTGCGCTAAATATGAGTGTTATTATTATGTCGATGCGCTGCTCTTTGTAATTTTGAAAAATTAAATAGCTGCTTTTAAAACTAAACGGACTTTTCTCTTTCTCCTCTTCGTATATTGCTCTCTAGTAACACCTCTAATCTTCGGAACGTATGTGATCAGTTCGTGTTGCAAGTGCCGTAAAATTCTTACTAAAACTAAAACTGAACAATATATTTGATAAATTATAATATGTGAAACGGGCTGACAAAATGAGCTGTTTCTCGGATTCGAGCCTTATGAAAATAAATACATCACATAGGTGAAGTTTTTCCCATTCACATTCATTATAACATAATAAAAGGCATGTTATACTTAAAGAATATGGCATCTATTAAGAAAACAAAATTGACCCTAGTGTCGATTTTTGGCCAATAGATCGATTTGTGGATTGCGAGAAGTAATTCATTTTGTCAGCACACCTCACATATGCTCTCTAGTAACACTTCTAATCCTCGGCACGTGTATGGTCAGTTTGTGGTGCAAGTGCCGTGAAACTCTTACTAAAACTAATCTGTTACTAAACAACATATTTCAATATAATTATATATTTCCCCTTTCTTCTGTCTCCCAGATTGACCAGCCTGGCGTGCTCTGAGCAAAGTTTGGACAGACCGGAAGTTGTAACACGTCACCGCAGAACTCTATCAAGCCCAGGCGTTTTGTGGCCACTCTAGTGAGAAACAGAAGACCGTCATTTGTCCTAGTTTGAGAAGACAAACCGATCACCCCCTCTACCCCTCTACACCGCTGACGCAAGAAGCTGTTAAAGGCCAGGACGAAGGAACGAAAGAAAAACGAAAAGGAAATAAGTAAAAAGAAAAAGAGAACAAAAGAAACTTAGAAATATCTGAGCTGAATTTTAGAAATCTAGACGCGAATACAGAAGGACAAGAAGAGTCTTTGAGTCGAGTCAACTCGGGCGTGAAGCAAAGAAGGAAAGAAATTCAGTAACGCAGAGAGAAGCAGACAAAAGCAGAGAGAAAGAAGAACGAAAAGAAAGGACGAAAACAGTAACAGTAACCCACAGAAGCAGAAACAGCGTTGGGGAAAAAAAAAACCCCGCGATAACAAAAAAACAAAACAAAACAACAAAAACATAAATCTGAAACAGAACAACAACATTTAGTGTCCCACACAGATCTCAAGTCTTCGCACCACCCTTTCCCTCCTTCTCACTCTCCATCCACCCCTCCTTCCTTCCACCCCTCTCTCTCGCACGCAAGCACACGCCTTCGTTTGTGCACACGTGTGTGTTTGTGTGTTGGTGTACCTTTCTGTAGGCTCTGTTGTGGCCGCCGCCACTACAACCACCACCCCCACTACTACTACCACCACCGGCATCACCACCCTCGCCACCCCCTCCACCACCACTACAACAACCACCAACATCACCACCCCCACCACCGCCACCACGTCGCCCTCACAACCCGCCAAGATTACGTTCACACACGAACACGTCATGTCGGAGGATATCGAGGCGCAGCGGTCCTGCATCGCCAATTTCTACAAGGGCAAGACGCTCTTCATCACGGGCGTCACTGGCTTCATGGGAAAAGTCCTGCTGGAGAAGCTGCTGCGGTCCTGCCCGGACATCCACCGGGTGTACACTCTGGTCCGGCCCAAGAAGGGGCAGACGCCGCAGGAGAGGATCGAGTCCATCATCAAGTCAAAGGTGAGTTTTGTTTTAGTAGAGGTTTTACAGCGCTCACAACTGCATAAGGTCATTATATGAGCACAGGCGCTGCAGGAGGGGATCAAGTAAAAGGTAAGTTTTGTTTTTGTAGAGGGTTTATGGCGCTCGCAACTGCATAAGGTCATTATATGAGCACAGGCGCTGCAGGAGGGGATCAAGTAAAAGGTAAGTTTTGTTTTTGTAGAGGTTTTACAGTGGGTGGTTGGTGGGTGCTCTGGTGTGGTTTGCTTCTTCTTTCCTATCAAACATCTATCGTCCTTATCTCCCCTTCTTCTTTTTTATGTTTGTTACTCTCTTGTAACACCTCTAATCTTCTGGCGCTCATAATAATTATGACCTTATGCAGTTGCGGACGCCGTAAAACCCTCTACTAAAACTAAACTAAGAGGTTTTACGGCACTCGCAACTGCATATTAAGGTCATATGAGCGCAGACGCCACAGCAGAGAATCGAGTCCTTCATCAAGTCAAAGGTGAGTTGTTGTTTTTTAGTAGATGTTTTACGGCGCTTGCAACTGCATAAGGTCATATTATGAGCACCAGAAGATTTGAGGTGTTACGAGAGAGTAACAAACATTAAAAAGAGGAAGAAGGGGAGATAAAGACGATAGATGACTGATTGGAAAGAAGAAGCAAACCGCACCAGAGTTCCTGCCAACCACCCACATGTCAAAGGTGAGCAGATGGATCAGACCAAAGATTCTGTATAACAAGATGGTTCACTCCTCTCTTTGAACCAATTAAAAAAGTGTCCTCAAAATCCGGTTGCGCCCTCTTTAAAAAAACGCCCACTTTGCGAACAGTAACAGAGTTACCCTTCCTGTGTGGGGAAAAATCAAAGAAGTGAAACTAACAAGTTTCTGTATAAAGTATAATTACAATTTCGGAATAACGCCTTTTTAAATGGTTACGCTGGCCGAAATCCTCTTCAGGTGGAAGGGGCGACTGTTTTCTTCGTTTAATTTGGCTTTAGAACTAGAGGCGAGATGTCATTAAAATAAAATAAATCCAAAACTCCTCACTGCGTGAACCGGAACAGCTGATACGCAAGGGGGTGCTCTTCCTATTCTTCTTCTGGAGAAACGAAAGAGAGCTTCAAAACAGACTGCAGCGACATCTGAACCAGTGCGCGGACTTCCGCGGACACTTTTTTGGCCGAGTGAACTACCTCGTTATGTACAATCTTTGATCAGATGTCGGACTGCCGTGGCTGTCCTTGCCTG